TACTGTCTACTAATTTTTTATAAAAGATGTACAAAACATAAGAAAATACAAAATCATTAAAACTTCTAGCTTTTTAATTCGAATTTCTATAAAAATTTTGTGTGAATTTTACTATAATTCGGTGTAAGCTTATAGTTGCTAAAAATTCCAATAACTAAAAATTTTTTTTGCCGACTGTATTGTTAATTTTCTTGAATAAAAAAATGTAATGTTAAGAGATGTATAGAAGAGAGAAGTTTCGCTAAAACTGACATCGATAGTTTTCAAAAACTATCGATAGTGGCGACAGTTTTCAACATCGATAGTATCCCAGTTCTAATATGTATTTAGATTGACTGCATTCATTTAATAAATTATTACGAACTAAATATGATCAGGAACGTAATAGTATGTGGAGTTCTCGCACTTATGATTAGTGTCACGAACGGTGAATTGGTTATTGGGCAGGACGATCTCAGTGAGGAACTAGTAGGACTATTTACTATTGAAGGAAGATTATTTTCTCCCGAAACCCAAAGCAGAGGCTTATCTGAAACTTCATTATCCATCAACAGCGGTGAATATAAAGGATTTTTGCGCGAGGATGGTTCATTTATCATTAGCAGTGTACCATCCGGAAGCTATGTGTTAGAAGTTCACCACCCGGACTACTATTACGAACCAATACGTGTGGAAATAAACCCCAAAGGTAAATTCCGTGCACGCAAAGTAAATTATGTGCAGCCTTCTCAGATCATACAAGTGCCATATCCCTTAAAAATGAAGGCACTAACCCGTTTTAAATACTTCCAGACTCGTGAACAATGGAAGGTAAAAGTACTTAAAATTATAACAATGCTCCTTATATTAATTTTTTTTTTTATTCAAAACAGATAACAGACTTTCTGTTCAGCCCAATGGTTTTAATGATGGTGCTACCACTTCTGGTAATGCTTGTTTTACCGAAGATGATTAATGATCCAGAGACAAAGAAAGAAATTGAGAATATTCAGTTCCCAAAAGTAAGTACGAACCACGATTCATATTTATTTTGATATTTGTACAAAATAACATTTTGAATAGGTAAGCAACGAAATGCCGGAAATCAGCGAAATGATTACCTCATTCTTCTCAGGGGCAAAACCACCAGAGAAGGAAAAGAAGACTGTTTCAAGCAAACAAAATAAAAAGCGTAATTAGTGCGAACTCGCGGTAATGCATACAAATGGATTAATCTATTATACCCATGTAGATTTATAAGAATTGGTATCATGTATACCGCAAGAAAACAAAATTGTGTTGTATTTTTTGTGTGCTTGTTTTATTTAAGAAATCCTACGGTATTTCTACGTTTGGAACCCACACGCCCCTCTTCAAGTTTTAAAGCTTTCTCCAACTCGTTATTCAAGTCTTCCGCGGCTGATAAGCCCAAATGTATGCAATTATGCAACGTATCCTTATGTAAAGATCCTTCCCCTATTGTATGGACGTTGGACATATAGCCTGGAATTAATAGATTTCAATTAGTAATAAATATGATAAAGGAATAATTTAATTTTCCAACATTTGTCTTTTCTTTTTGAAACTCCTACAACAACGCTGGCGATGCTGCACTCCTCTTCTTCGGCGGAAGGATCTACTACACATGAATCTCCAATTTTACACACGGTCACCAAGATGGGCAAATTTTCAATTTGAATACGCGTACAATCATAGGGATCATCCGATATTAATAAATCAGCTTCGCCGGCATCCATCAGAGCTGCGGTAACCCGTGGTATTTTAGTATTAAATAAAGCGGCTTTTGCAGCCAAAGACACGGCATCAAATAAATTTCCACCACACTCTAATATCTAGAATGAGGAATCTTAAAACTTACTACTTTACTGAAACTGTACTGTAATCTACCAAAATATCGACAAAGAGCTTCCAACATTGTTGACCAGGTAAAATACAAAGAGATTTTAAATCAAAGGCTTTGGGAGACTCGTATGCATTTGTTAAAGTGTCTGCCAATTCCAAAGCCAATTCCTCCCCACCTCGTCCTTCAAACTCAGGAGCCGCATTGGCTGAACTAAAATAAAAAAAAATAATGATAAGCCAATATAGAGGTCTAGATCTTTTTCTTTTCATACCAATCGACGAAAAACTCTATCTTTCCTTGATCCGGAGTCAAATAATTTGGTTTGTCTATTTCAGTCTTAATGCCAACCAATACATCGGTGTTTGCTAGACGGAGTCTCGCGGAACCGCTAGCATTACTGACTAAATCGGTTTCTAATTCCATAGGCCGATAATCACGACGTGACCGTCCATCACATCGGAAATCCCCCTGTAAACTTAAAAAATAAGTAGTTGTTAAACTCTTTTGAAAAGTTTTACCTCGACGCCATGTAAAATATAAGTTTTCTCTGCTTCACTTAGAGATATATTAGCCATGTTCAACAAAAATTAGTTTCAAGGAGATTTTCTAATTCAACTTTTATTTATTTCCCCCGATATTTTTCTAAAAGCTTTAATGTGCAGCTAGGAATGAAACTAGTAATGATCGATATTTCACTACCGGTGATTTTATCACCCTGCAAAAAACGGCTGACCATATCGGGAAGAACCTATCGATTGTAGGGTCGCATACATATGTACAAACATACATACATCAAAGAAAATTTTACTTCATTTTTAGCTATGGTGCAAAATAAAGTCGGTGAATTTAAAGAAAGAATTAATAAAAATCCGTATATTCTATTTGTATATAAAAAAAATGAGCAAAAAAACATTTTTTAGCGCTATGTGGATAGAGAAGAAATAATTTGAGGCCAGTGCGCTTAGGCCGACTGTGGAGTCAGTGACTACAGTGCAAAGCCAACGTGTGACTCCAGCAGAACTTAGGAATGGAGGTAGAAAGACCAAACAGCGCTGAGGCATATGTTTTTAGCGACGAAAATTCAGACCCCGATGAAAAATGAGAAGAATTGTCTAAGCTCAGTGGCTCTGAAAAAGCTTGCAAAATTAAGTTAATATTCGACAATATATTTTTACATATAAAACAAACACATAAATTAAATCGAATTGTATTTTTTAATTTCGTTTCATGTATATTTGGATATTTCGCTGCAAACTATTCACAAATTTATCAATTATTTAGAGGTCAGAAAAATCACTAATTATCGCGATATTTTCCCAATAGTTTCATTGCTAAACTCACTTGTACATCACCAACTAGATGACATGTGTGAGCGAGTGAACATACTGTGAGGCAAATGCGCCCGTGTGTGCAAGAAAGGGATGCACTATCACACGCCCGGAGAAGTGGTCACTTTTTCCCCAAGCCCATACTAAACTGACGAAAAGTTTTAGTCGGTTTTCCCACTAAGTTTACCGATAATCATAGGTCAAGCTTCTTGCAGGGATTATTGTATCATGATCGATAGATGATTGCGACAACTAGGGTTGCCAGATTCTGAAACCGAGAGGAAAAGAGTACATTTCTATTTTCGTAAAAAAGCACTACGAATATAATAAATGAAACGATTTTTTTTTTAATTTTTTGTGCAATTTATTGTTACAAATTACCAAAAAGTAAATGTATGTAAATTTAAGCGCGGCCGATGGCCTATAGGCGTTGACAAGAAAATAATGTAAGCAACGCCAGCTTGTATGCCAGTGTTTTGATACAAATTTTATCCTTCTTGCACATTCCAAATTCTTTTGGCTTTTAACATTGCATGAGGGATTTGGAAAGATTAATAGCTGCAAGAATGAGTACAAAAGATGTACAAAAATAACAAAGGAGTACATTTCCAAATTTCCTTTTTTGAGAGTACATGGCAGTACATTGCAATAAAAAGTAGTACGTTTACTCCCAAAAATCGAAAAGTGGCGAAAAGAACGATTACCGATTTTATTGATAAGGCAATTCGTCACCTCGTTGGTCCGTTAAGGTCTGATTATGGCAACTTAACGTGACTTAGAGGCTGTCACTTAAAAATTCTCTTAAATAGATGTTGCTTATATTTGGACAGCCGGAACTTAACGTAACTTAATGCCCCGTCGAAGCCTGCTTCATTTTCATTTTCTAAGCAAAGTTAAGTTGTCATAATGAGGCTTTAAGCCTGTGTCAGTCAAAGGAGCTGTTTGTGCAATCCGGTTTGCACTGCCAAAACAAGCGAGTGTGAAGGATTAGATCCGTGCGAATGGCATACGCCGGATACAGTATTAATCATGACTATTGGAGGCCGGACTTATATGCTCCTTCGAGGGGAACTCCAACTAGACAAACGATGTTTGGTGGTGAAAAAGTATTTAACGTTGTCTACAGAAATCTGGGGCAAGTAAGGCACATAGAACAGGTAATAGCTCTGCTCACGTGTTCTCCAGCCCTCAATGAGACATCAGAAATTGTACGAAAACGCTAACCTTGCAATAAGTTATATGAAATTTCAGCTAAATAGCTTTATTTTATACATTTTAACCTTACAATTCTAAAAATTAATTTCCCTATTTGTGTAAAATTTAAGAAGCAGCCGGTTTTCTTACTGGCAAATTATTCTAAATAGAAAGATATCCAATAAAAACTTGTTAGTTGGTAGTAACGCGAGGGAGCTGCTATTTATATACACACCTGCTGACAGTAATAGTTACAAAATTCAAAATTATATTGATTGTCACTTACATACATAATATGTATGTGTTCGTATTGAATAGTAGCTTATGTCGGAAAGCTGGATGTAGTATAATGCTGCATTCCCTTCATTCTTTAAACGACAAGAAATTTTTTGATGAGACTTAATAAGAATATTGACTTCCTAGCCTATCGACATAAGCTACTGTTCCATACGAACAGATATGTTTATTTGTTTATTTTTAAGAATTTTCATTTAAACTATAGTTTGATCTACAACAGAAATTACATAAATAAAAGTTTGCAAGCTTGCACAAACCTCACGAACTTTAATCAAACTTCAAAAAATTTTCATCAACCTTTCATTCAAAATTTTTAGAAAATAATTTTTTTTTTTTTTTTAATTTCCGGACTACCTTTTACGTGGTATTGAATTTGACGTGTACGAGGTATTGCGCATAGTGAAATAATATATATATATTTTTTTTTTCACCATGGTATTGCGCGCCGAGCGACGATATATTTTAAATGATAATTCTTAAAAATAATAAATAAACATATGCGGCAAACAATATCATTTTGAATATTGTAACTATTAATTTGAGCAAGAGTACCTATATATTCTTGTGGTTGTAAGAGCATACGAATTCCCCAATTTTGGGCGAGTGATGCTGGAGTGACTGTACTGGCCAGATATAAATCTGGGCATTCCGGTTTGTAAGCCCGACTGTTGTTGGGACGCTTATACTCATATATTATACTTTACTGCTGTAACCACTTTAGCGATTCTGGTCGAGTTGAAAAGAGCACGCCAATCGTTTATATTCTGAGCCAAGTGACGCCAATTTGAAATTTCCAAGGGAATCCGCCCTCCCATTAGCAGCTACCAAGACGAAACACAGCTGTTGCGTTCATTTGATTCCTTCCCCTTATTTTTTGCTTAAATTAGATAAAAATTATGAAATAAATTTATGATATAACGATATAGTGCCTGCTTGGCCAATAATTCACACACATATTATGAGAAATGAAAATGAAAATATAAACTGCGTTATATAGAAATCTATAAACAAAACTCTAGGTGGCAGTACTTTCGAATTGAATTTTCAGCCCGCAGTATGTATTTCAAAATTTAAGTATAATTGTTTTCCTTTTGCAAATATTAGTTCGGTAAGGTGTACGTATGTATGTGTGTACATATTTAGCTAGTACTTTCTACTATAATATTGTAAAGCAACTCCTGCATATTCGCTCAATAAAATCAAGGTGTTTCACATACACTGTTCGTAATACTCAGTCACATGTCCACAAATGTACGGTTGAGATTAACAAATGTTTTAGTTAGCCCAAGAAAGTAATTGTTTCATATCTGGATCATTTTCTAAATAAAATTAAAAAGAAAAAACGTATAAATAAATAATATAGCTTAGTATATATTTTACTTTACCATCATCTACGGCCGAAGTTGAAGCAGAGGCAGCAGCTTTCTTTTTCTCTGGAACTTTCTCTGGCATCTCATCCGCCGGTACTTCGGGTAATGTAACGTTTGGTTCTGGTATGCCGATAACTTTTTTATCAAACTCTTCTTGTTCTAATTCATCTAATTCACGTTCTAGGTCTTCATCGTCCAGATCAGCACCTATATATTGAATTTTAAAATAAGCAAATGTAAACAACAAATCCTTTGCAATAGTTACCAAAGGCAACTGGGTTTGAAATAGCGTCAGAAATTTCACGCGCCACATCTTGTTGCTCAGCAATATCATCCATCATATCATGCACATTATCCACATCCCTGAAATATCGAATTACGAAAATTATAAATATACAAACAAGTTTTTTTAAAATTGCGTTAAATGTGCACTAACATATTTTTATGTGCCGCTTTAAGCGCGTCAGCAGCATTTTTCATAGTCGTCAAAACAGCTGTGTTCGTGTTGGCGCTTTCCAATGCTTCGCGCTGCATTTCAATCGTGGACAACGTTCCATCAATTTGCTGCAGTTGCTTCTCCAAACGCTTCTTCTTCTTAAGCGCCTGTAAAGCAACTGAAATTATAAGAGAATATGTAGATTTAATCATACTTATGTACCTAGTACAACATTTTATACATGTTGGTACATAGATATGTACATGTGTACATTGTACATACATATTGGCCATTTACTAACAGACTGCCACAGCTTAAACAGCTTGTTTTAAATAAAGATGCTATGATTCAAAAAAAAATTAATTTAGCTAAACAGAATTACCAACAGTTTATCTGTATAATATTCCTTTTGCAGTAGGTTCTATGGTAGAACGAAAATAATGCCTTCGGAATATTCCAACACAACAAATAAACATAAAAACGGTTTATCTGTATTGATAGGATAGATAAGATGCAGTTTCCCCATGTCATCAAACCAATATGCATCTCCCATTTCTGCATGGCGACTGTCAACTAAATATTCTCCTGAAAATCGCGTTTTCTGGGCTGTCACCAAGATGTATTTATGTTTAATACACTTTGGTTGTCACATTCTTCTAGTAAATGAGCAATATGTCACTACATGCGAATTTAATTTTTTTCATACCTCATCGATATAGAATTTCAGGTCAAATGTATGAATTTATTTATAAGCACATACAAATGTAGCGAAAATCAAATCGGGGAAAAGCTAATTAAATGTATTTGAACTTACATATCGACATACATATCTGTGTTCATATGGAAAAGTACTTATGTCGAAAGGCTGGCTTTAGTATGAATCGGCATTCGCAGCATACGATTGCGAATGACTCACAATGGCACTGAGCCATTGAAGAACTTTTGGCAAATAAACGTGCAAGAAATAGCTCCGATGCTAGCAAGTCGATATTCTTATTAAGTCTCATCAAAAAATTCTTTGCCGTTTAAAGAATAAAGGGAATGCCGCACTTTACTAAAGCCAGCCTTTCGACATAAGCTACCTTTCCATGCGAACACAGATATACATACATTAAAAATAATTTAATAAAAGTACTCAATATAAGGCATTAATGATTACTATCATTACGTTCTAAGCATTGGAATGGACGAGTCCCGGAATTGAAGATTTAAGCGTAGTTGTATGTAGCATTATTTTAGGAAGATGAAAGGAAGACAAAAAGAAAGATGTTTAATAATCAACAATGAGTCATTTTTTCCACCACTTGACAGATTCATGTATGGAAGCGACGCAATTTACTTGATTACCGTAAATCGCGATATAGCAAAAATAAAGGCATCGTCCAAATGGTCAAATCGCAAAATAATGCTCACCTCGTTTGTTTTTCGAAGCATTTTTCCTGGCAATGTTCAGCTCTTCCTCTATTTTTGATTCCAGAAACTCCTGCTTCTTGATGAGCATATTTTCTGTCTCACGAAGTTTCTGTATGGCTTCACCTGTGGTAGGAGCCACTTCTTTCTTTCCACCAAACACTTTGCCAAAGAAACTCATTGCAGCTCCACTTTGTTTAATACACGCTTAAAAATAAAACAATATCAGGCAAAAATTTACTTTATTAATTCTTCTTTTATCCTTCTTTCTTATAAAAAATTATTTTCGTTTTGACGTTGGCTGCGTCATCCCCAGCGTTGCCAAAGAAGCTTTGATTTTGTGAATTTATCCAAAAGCCTTCACTTTTACTTGAGGTCTGCACCAGTGTTGCCGCGCCTATTGAAAAAAATTATCGTTAAATAAGGGACCAAATGCAGCACTTTTTTAAGGGCCTGTGGCAATTCATAGAAAAGAGGAAATTTTGACGGATCAAAGTAAAAATTTGACATTTCTCGTGGTGAATATGATCGTCAGAATTTTACCTAGCCTTTTCGCCTTTCTAAAATTTTGACCAATTTTGGGGGTTGAAAGCCCACCTAGATAATTACGGATTGTAACCTTCACTTCCTTCTCCTTTCTGTATTGCCATAAAAAGAAGCCGAAGTATTTCTGCGCAGAACTTCTTTCTGAATAGGCGGCCTCCGGCCGCACTTAGGGATTATAACCCTCACAAAGTAGAATTCTCTTTCTGTGTTGAGAAGAAAAAGCGCTGAACACCTTTTGCAGAGAACACTATTGTGCGAAGGTTAATAACTTTTGATCGGGTAAAAAAAAATTAATTTCCGCTTTCGGATTCTTGTTATTGGGGCCCAGACGCGACTAATTAGTCCGGAGTTTTTCTTCTGGCAAATTCATGAAAAGTGTCAAACGATAGGTTCGTAAGAATGAGATTTTGATGCTTTTTTTTACTTTTTTCAAAAATTTACGAAAAACTTGAATAACTGGGCCAAAACTATTCTGATTTAGACCTATGGGTTATTCGTGTCCCATTTTTTTT